GTTGGCGAGCCCATCGACAAGCAAGAGGACTGCGAGAATGACCACATCCTGGCGAACGTGGACGTGGACGAGATGGGGGCCGACACCGACCGCAAGGTACATTCGCGGCCAGGCGCGCAGGAGAGCAACGCGAGGGGCGAAGAAGTAGGGGGAGAGCATCCATGGGGCGCCACAGCCTGGGCTCGAGGGCACTGGTCATGCCCCAGAGTCGCCGCCAGCCAAGATCAGCGACGCTGGCCTGGCGCCTCACCTATGGCCGGAACTCGCGATCGCGGCCAGGCCCAGGGCGCGCAGCAAGAGGCCAGCCGGGAGATGATGGGTCGCCGGCGAGAGGGCCGCGGGGGAGTTCGCGTTGGCGGAATCGAGTCGCGACGGGACACTGGCGGAAATCAACGACAGCGGCTCGGAAGTTGAACGGTTTGAGGCCGAGGCCGAAGACGGCGGTCATCGGGGCCAGGGCCGGCGGGAATTCCAAGGAAGACGAGGCGCCGTTGTTGCTTCACGAGGATGCCGATAAGATCTGCCTGACGAATGCCGCGACGCGGGGCTCGCGAAAATTTGGCTGACCGACGACGAGAGGGGGCAGCTCGACGAAGCGAAGACGAAGGCGCTGCCACTTTGGATAGAGCATCAAGCGCGGCAAGCAGCGAACGGGAATGACGCCAAAGTAGGCGAGATCTACCCTGCGAGGCGCTGGCAGAAATGGAAGATGAAGGACGGAGTTCGCGAGGTAAGCTCTCGAGAGATTCGGCGGGGCGTCCGCTTGGGGGAGGTGGCCAGCAAAAACGCAGAGAAGGTGAGAACGAGCCCACCAAGGCTGACCAGGTACCTCATCATGTTTCCCCTGCGCCAGCAGTCGCGGGAGATGGCGGCTGCCGACGTCCGGAAGGCGTTCCTGCAGTCCGAGGACACGCGCGAAGAAGGCGCGCGGATCTTCAGTAGCCCGCCAGGAAGTGTCGGCGAAGTTCATGGGTTTGAAGGAGGGCCAGATCTTGCAGGTGTTCAAGCCCTCTTTCGGAGAAACGCAGGCCCCGCGTCCGCGGGGCCAGACCATCCCGGAGGCCATGATCGACATCGGGCTCTTGCAGCACAAATTGAACGCGCGTTGCTACCTGTCATTCAGGCAGGCGGCCAAAGGAGACGACCCCTTCCAGGTGCGGGAGACGGACGACACCCAGTTTTACATATTGGACGGCGCGCGGGGCTGCACGTGGGCGATCTCATCGGCGGAGGCGAGAACCTTGAATGCGAGGCCGACCGCGCCGACAAGCAGGCGCACGCACGAACCTTGCTGGACCGAGCGCGGACCTTGAGCAGGCGCTTCAAAGTCGGAAAGTGGGAGCTCTCGGATGGCATCGTGGTTTGTGGCACGGAGAACACGCAGTGCCAGTCCTGGGACGAGATCGAGGTGAACGCCGAGCAGTGCATCCACAATGCGAAGCCGACCAGCATCGAAAAGGGGCGCCGCATGCACCCGGACGACCCATGCGCGCCGAGAGAGATCAGCCAGCTTCGTGGGCTAAACAGCGCAATGCAGCGCATGGCGAAGGGGAAGGCGGCGGCGACGGCGTTGCGTGCGTGGGGCGACGTGGGCAAGGCGACCGTTGGCAGTTTGCTAGAGACTATCGAGTCTCTGCGGCTCCTGAAGTCGAGTGGAGATGCGGGCATGCGTGTCATATACGTGGCCAAGCGGGAGCCGTCGCGACTTGGGGTGCGCTGGATGCCTCGTGGGCGACATGGCCGAACGGTGAATCTCGAGGGGGCTGCGTGACATTCGCGATCGAGGACGAGCGGGTCCGAGACGGAGGGCCGACTCATCTCGCGACCATCGATTGTGCGAGCAAGTAAATGGCACCCGTCTGGGCGCGGAGGGTGTTTTGGAGCGGGCGGACGCGATGCTGACGACCATGCCATTCCCAATGCTGAAGCTGGCGGGCAAGCAAATGCTGGGCGCGCTGGGGCGAGGTCCGAGTTTCACGCGTGCGAGGGTGCCTTGCGACGCGCACAACTCGCAGGCGCCAACGGGCGGGCTGGTCGGGCGCAGGGCCGGCGCCGAGATCCTGCGCGCGAGCGAGAAGACGAAGGAGTTTGGCGGCGCATGGCGCCGCGCCAACGCGCACCAACAGCTGGCGGACGGGCTGGCCAAGCTACGAGTTCGACGGCAGTTCGCGGAGAAGCGGGGGGGGGGTGGCCCGCGCGCCGAAGGGCGGCGCCACATTCACGGCGGCGCAAAGGATACGTCACAATTTTGGCCAAGGCACAGCAGGGCCAGGCAGACGCGGCGGCTGATTCCGACGCGGCGAACGCGGCAGAGCGCGAGGAGGGCAAACAGTTCGAGAGCAGCAAGACGGAGTTGAAGGCGACGATTCCAGGGACTAATGCGGCGCAACGGTTGGCACGGGCTGCATCGATGGCAGCGGTGGTGAAATATGTGCGAGCCAACCCCGTGCCGATGACGTGCCCTGGATGCCAGTCGCGGCCATTGCGGCGCGCTCATCATTATCGCCACGAAACGGTCGCGCGGTGCCGGCGCAACGCGGTGGCGCAGGGATCGCGGCGCGAGACAGTCCCAGACGGATCCGCAGAGGTGCCGAGGCAGAACGGGCGCAGCTGGTCGAGAATGCAAGTTCTGAGCAGGGGAAACCAGCAGGCTCGAGAACGGCGCGGTTCAGGACAAGCTAGAGAAGATCAGGGACCTCGAGAAAGACGTCGAGTCATTGATCGTGGACTGAGAGGACAGGTGCAATAGGGTCAGGTGCCAGGGGGCCGAGCTGGCCAGACTGCATGATCATATCAGGAGCCCGAGGAAAAAGGTGGCTGGACTCTGCGATAGGGACCTGGAGCTGGAGTTGACGAGGGCGCATCAGCAGAGAGAGGAGCTGGAGGCCCGAACGCGGACGGTCAAGAGGACGTCGGAGACACAGTCGCCATGCACGTACAGACGCGATTTGGCGACGCCGAGGTTCCAGTACCTAGAATCACTGGCAGACGGCCAGAATGAGCGAGGGTTGTTGGAGACATTCAGAGAGGAGCGACGACGGTATACGTGTACACATAGTGAGCAGGTCTCTTGCGTTTTGTTGCATAGGAAGTAGCAGGCTCTCGTCTCTGGCTGAATGCGAGTGTGTTTCGTTGTTCGTTTCTTTGTTGGGGGACCGCAGGCCAACAGTTTTTTCTCGCTGTGTCAGTGGCACAGGTCTTGTCCACTGTAGTCAGCGATGCATGGTGTAATGGTTGCGCCGTGCGCATGCTCAGTGCGTGCATGTGTACGTGTTGGCGTTGCTGTTTTATGACAAACCGTTTTAGGGGGAGTCTGAGCTGAACAAAAACTACGGCCGAACATTTTCGACCTTTCTTCAATCTGAAACATGTACGCTATATTTATCAACGTCGTTTGCGGGCCCCTTGGTGGTTCCATCTGTTTGCTACCGACAAACTTTTTCAGGCCCGCGACGACGATTAGAACGAGGATGAATGCGAGAACGAGCAGGTGGACGAGGAAGGGGAAGAGAACGAAAGGGGGGATGAGGAGGAAAATGAGGGCGAGGAGGAAGAAAACCCATACGAGGAGGAGAATGAGGGAGAAGACGACGACTCTGGCAGCCGTCTTGGGGTCTTCTGGATGCTCTCTGGGGTCCTCTTGGCCCCTAGGGGCAATGTTGGAGGGTGTCGGGGTCTTTGGGGAGTTTTTTTCCGGGGGGTCTACGGTATACGGCCTCTCTGGGGGGCCCTGTTGGTGGCCTCTTTGGAGCATTGGAGGGCCTCTTGCGGCCATCTTGGGGGGGCATCGATCAAAAGAAGGTGGGAGAGTCCCTCCTTCCTGGGTCCTCACAGCCGTTCCCTTGAACCCGTTTGGGGCGCTCTTGGGCGGTATTTGGACCATATTTGAAGCCTCTTCGGCGCCTCTTGGGGAGCTCTCTTGGGCCAACGTAAGGCCTCTGAGCCGCATCGGAAGCGAAAAGACAACAAGGCAGACAGCATTGATGTTTCTTGGGCTTTCGGGAGATTCTTTTGGGGAAGCTCTGAGGGGGCCGCGAGCACTGGGAGCCGTCTCGTGGTCCCCTTGGGGCCTCTTGGTGGCATTTCGGGAGCCATATTAGACCATCTCCAGCCATGTATTGAGGCATCTTGGGGGCCATCTGGAGCACCGGGGACCATCTTAGAGCCATCTTTGGCCAAGGAGAACCCTCTGACACATCGCGGGGGAGGGGGCAACAACATCTCAGGGAGGGGGGGGACACGCTTCCCCGAAAGGACGAAGAAGTTGGGAAGGGGAAAGCAGGATCTCGTTAGACCACCTACGCCGAAAGGGCTGGTGGGACTCAGCATCGGCGCTAGTATATCCGTGAACAAAAGCATGTTCAATCTGGCCTGTACCAAATCATTCCGCTGAATCTGGCTCACTCCGGCTTAATCTTGAGCTGCGACAGGGCCTTTCTGACTCAATGGCCCCTTAGTTCGGCTGAGTGGACGCTAGCCATTGTTGCGAAGACCTCCCAGGATCTGCTTCCTACTATGTCCCATGGAAGACGAATCCCCGGAGACTTGTCCAAGGGGGTTTGTCTGGAGGGATTGTCCAGATCCCCGCTGGAATGTCCAAGGGGTTGTCCACGGTGGGTTGTCCATGGGTTGTCCAAGCGGCTGTCGGCTGTTCGTTGGATCGGACCATTCTTCCATCGAGCATAGGAAGCCTCATCCTCTTGGGGGCCGCGGGAGGGCGCCCCGCACTCTCGGCGCCCCGGCGTGGATAGCGCATTTTGCCCGCGTGGCCGTGTCGCCGGCCCGACCGTGCGGCCGCCCCCGCGAGGCCCCAGGGCTCGTCCTGGAATTCAGAAGAGGAAAAGGCACCCATGCCGCTACCCTTGCCTCGTGTTCCCTTTCTGGGCCTCCTGGGAGGCCCTCGTCGCCACCGCTGGATTCACTTAAAATTCTGGTCAGAATGCAGCTCAGGAGAGGTCCGGGGAATAGCGGGATCGGTACCTTTTGTTTCCCCGCGCGAGGCCCCAGGGCTCGTCCTGGAACGGCTACCCGTCGGTGCCGCTGGGGGCCGGGCTCCGGGACTTGCTGGCGGCCGAGGGCTTCGAGGGCGCGCCCCACCGCCCAGCGCCGCGCCCCCCCCCCGCTGCTGCCCCTGCTGCTTTTCCCCCTCTGTCGCCCTCGTCGTCCTGCAGGCTTCTCAGCTCCCAAAGCTCGGGGGTGGACAGAACTCCCACCCTGACACGTCGATTAGTGAAGTGTCCGTTTTCGGTTCTCGAGAGGGCGCCGCGGCCGTCATTTTCCAGACTTGCGCCCGCCAGGTTATGGCCCGAAGTCGTTTTCACTAAACCACGTTTTGCTAAAGGGGGTTCTGTCCAGCCCCGAAAAGCGGGGTCTCCCGCCGAGCGGGGCCGCCCTGCCCCCCAGAGGTTTGGGGGGGCTCGCCCCAGGCAGCCCAACGAGCCAGCTGCGCTCGGGGCTTGCAGCCATATGCTACACAAGGGGGTCGGTAGAGTCGGCTAGAAGAGAGTTGGCCACATGACCCCGAACCGCCTTATCCGTTTATATATATACACAGACGTACATCTACATCTACATCTACATCTACATCTACATATACATACACATATACATATACATATACGAACATATACATATACATATACATATACATACACACACGCTTCGGGTGACAAGGAGGTGGGGTGGTGGGGTGGTGGGGGGGAAAGAACCAATTGCTGGCGAATGCGATGGATGTGATGGTGACGATGCTGTTGACGCGCCCTCGAGTTAGCGACGAGGCGTGATGACGATGTTGCGCTGCGATGTAATGTCACGGGCTGAGACCTAGTCGTGGAGCCTCTGGGGCCGCGGCGGGGCCGCGTGAATGATTTTAGGAGTTTCTTTGGCCGTTGGGGTGCCGTGTTGTGGCCGCTGTGGGGCCGTTGTGGCGCCCCCCAACCCAACCCACAAGGCATGTGATTATGTCCTGTCCTTTTGAGTGGACTTATACATATATATATATATGTATATATATATACATATATATGTACGTGTATCTATATATATATATATACACTTATAAGATGTTATGATATATATATATATATATATATATATGAATCGGCCGTCGGCCTATCCCGCCACCGCGCCTGGATTGTAGGTATGAGGCCTCTTGGGTGCCTCTGAGGATCTCTTGGGGGGGCCTCTCCGATGCCTCTTGGAGGCGGTTTTGGTGGGGTCTTGGTACGTCTTGGGGGCCTCTTGGGGACTGATTTGGGTTTCTCGGGTTCTCATGGGAGCCTCTTGCGACCTCTTGTGCGCACCTCGGGTGCCTGTGGGGGGATCTTGGGGACATTCTGGGGCGCAGGACTCGCAATGCCACTTCGTGTTCCCATCTTGGGCCCCTCTTGGGGGCCTCTTGGGGCCCGCTTGGGGTCTCTTTGACCATTTTGGGACGGTCTTCGGCGCCTCTTGGGCCGTCTTGGACGCTCTGAAGACCGAACAGGTGCCAATGTGAAAGCCATACACAACAAATACTGGATTTTGACAATGTGGGCCTCTTTGGCCGCCCTCCAGGGCTTCGAAGACGGCCCCAGACGCGCTCACGAGGGCTTCAGGACGGTCCCCAGGGCTATTTGAAACCGTGCTGGACATGCATGTCCCGAAGAACTCGCACAAGGCTTCTCGGAAAGTGACGCGGGGACCCGCCAAGAGCGCGGGAGCACCCGAGAGCGCCGGGAACTCCAGGCTGTGGGCCCCTTAAGAAATACTCATTTAATCCAATACAGAGGACTCGAAGGGATCTGAGAACACTCCACCTCGTGCCTCAGGGCACGGTGGTACATATATATATATATATATATATATGTGTACACACATAGACGTATATATATATATACACACGATAGAAACACATGTGCATCTATGTATGTGCATGTATTGAAAATCCCAGACCGGGTCGAAGTGGGTCGCGCCGCATCGCCGATGCATCGGCGATGCGGATGGACGTAGAGCCTTATTTTCTCCAATCCGCCGCCGCCGATGCACCGCCAACGTCGCCAATGCGTCCCCAACGCCGCGCCGCCCCTCTCGCCCCGCGGGCCGCGCGCCCTGGCGCCGGTCCAAAGCAAGTGCGCGAAGAGGATCGGGGGTCCCCAAACGGGGCGGCGACCACACCGTGTGGTGAGTCGGTGGGGATTCGGGGTCACCGCACGGTTTTGGGATTCGGATCGTTTTCCCCGAGGACGTCTCGGGCGGCAGGGGCGTCCGAGGTCCTAAAACCGTGCGTTGACGGACCGTGCGGTGAGGTCTTGAGGGATGTCGAGGTCACCGCACGGTCTGTCACCGCACCGTCTCGGGACTCCAAAGAGGGGCAGCGTCCGTCGGCGTGCTGCGATGGCCAGCTCATTGGCGTTGGCTACGGGCCTTGCACGCGCATGGCAGGGCAAATATGGGCTTCACGCCAATCTACTCCTACAGCGTGCGCATCGCTCCCCCCAGGGGGGACGCGCGCGCCGAGAAAGATTTCCGGCCACACCACTCGGGAAACGATATACGACAAGATGGTATCCTACATGTTCGGGTCGGACGGGAGCCTCCGAGGAGGACACGTAGTACAGGTATGTCTTTGTGTGTCCCAAGGGAGATGGTGCGCCGACATGCTGCTGGCCGTGCTCCCTTGGGGCGGGGGGGGGCGAACCAGGGCAGGGGGTGCGGGAGCTTGAAGCAGGACTACAGGGAAGATGGGAAAAGTAGTTGCCGGGGCCAGCCATTCCGCTCTTTCCTGCCCTGGTAGTTTTCCTTGAATTCTTGTCCAGCCGTGGTGACCTTATTCAATCGCTTCGCTCATTCCGCCGGCCCATGTTGAATGATCGCTACTGCTTCGCCGTGGGCCAGGGGCCATTGTGGCGCCGCCGAGGAGGAGGAAGATGAGGATGGGGAAGGGGAGGGGAGGAGGAGGAGAGGATGAGAAGGAGAGGAGGAGGATGAAGATAAGTAGGAGGAGGAGGAGGAAGAGGAGGAGGAGGAGGAGGAGGAAGGCGAAGGAGCGGAGGAGGAAGCCTCTCGTTGGCATTTTGTGTTGCTCTTGGGGCCAAACAGGGTCGTCGTCAAGATGCTGCTCTGGGAGGCCTCTTGGGGTCTTTTGAGAAGCCTTTCGGGGGCGCCTGGGAGGCATTTTTGAACTTCTGGGGCCTCTTGGGGCCTCTTTTGGGCCTCGAGTTTTCGGTTCGTGGTCCCCCTCTTGGGCCCCTCTTGGGGCCGTCTTGGGCCGTCTTGGGCGCCTCTTGGGCCGTCTCGGGGCCCTCTTGGGCCCTCTTGGGGCCCTCTTGGAAGCCTCTTGGCCCGTCTTGGGGCGCTTTTGGGGGCCTCTTGGGCCGTCTTGGAGCATCGGATGGCCGAAAAGGCGACAAGGCCAAAATCCTTCCAAAACCATAGTCAAATTGATGATTTTGGCCTCTCGGGCCTTCTTGTGAGGCCTCTTGGAGGCCACTTGGAGGCCTCTTGGGCCGTCTTGAGGTCCTCATCGGCGTCTTGGAGCGCTCTTTGGGCGTCTCGGGGGCCTCTTGGGCAGTCTTGGGGACCTCTTGGGTCAGGAGGGGGGGTAGTCGATTGCGCCCCTCCCCTCGGAGGCCACGATCCTCGTGAGGGGTGTCGAAAAAATGCACTGTCTGGCATCTCTGATCCAAGTGTGCCGGGGGTGTCCCGGGGGTGTCCCGGGGTACTCTTCGTCCGGGGGCGGCCCCGCGGGCACGAACTAGAATATTGTTAACCAGTTACCGGAGATCTTAGCACGCCCTTGGCCCGTTGGGCTGGCGAATTTTCTTTCCAGCCCTGGCCACTTCCACTTTCACATAATGTTCAACCTCCTTCTCTTCCAGCTTCCTTGTAGGATGGAATGGCCGCGGCGCCCGCTGCATCCCTCAGAACCGCTGAATCTCAGAGATCAGTCTAGATGGGGCAACACTCGCCCCCCTTCGGATCGGCGAGGACGGGGAGGGGGGCACGGGGGCACGTGCTGTCGGAATGGGTGGAGGTGAGGTTGGAGGAGGAGGAGGAGGAGCAGGAGCAGGAGCAGAGGAGGAGCAGGAGCAGGAGCAGGAGAAGGGAGGGGGGATGGGCAAGCTCTGTTGGAAGGTCAATCACCTCACCCCCCTTTCCTAAACACCCATCCAGGGTGCTGATTTTTTCCGAGTGCCTGCTTTCCTGCTTTCCTTTTGCCTCTGAATTCCCTCCGCCCCCTTGCGCCCCTCGTCCCCGTCGCCTCCCCAACAACAAAAGAACGCCGCGTGCTCTTTCCCTCCGCTCACTGCCCCTTGCTGCCTGCGCTCCCCTCGCCTCTTCTTCTCCTCTTCCTCCTCCTCCTCCTCCTCCTCCTCCTCCTCCCTCCTCCCTCCTCCCTCCTCCCTCCTCCGTCCCCGCACGACTGTGCTTGGTCAACTTGTCCCTCCTCCCTCCTCCCTCCTCCGCCGCCGCCTCCCCCTCTTCAAAGGTTTAGGTTTTCGCGCGCTTTCGTCGGTTCTCGGCGGTTTTCCATCCTCGGGATGCGTTCCAGCAGAGCGTTCCGGGGGTGTCCAGATCGTCCCGAATGGCCGCCGGTGAACCGAGGTCTGGCCCGAATACCACCGGGCATGGGGATAGGCTCAAAAGGAAAAGAAGCACACGGACACACATAGGCTTGGATGTTCAGTGGGATATGGGAAACAAGTGGAAGTGGAGGGGAAGACGGAAATCCAGAAACTTTGGATTGGTGTGTACTTATTTGCGTGTCCCGCCCAGGAGGGGATGGCCTCAGGGGGGGGGGGGGCGGTGCTTCGACCCCCGATCGCCCACGGATCGTTGGCGGGGGCCCGGTAGCCCACCCTGCCCAGGACCGCGCGGCTGCGCGATCGGGGGCCCATCGCCAATCCATCGGCGATGCATCGCCGACTCCAGGTCGATGGCTCCCCCACCCCGCCCTTGATCGCAGGCCTGGAGGTTGACACTAACACCAATATCGGCGGTGTTCCTCCACCGAGGGAAGAAGATGCCGATCTCGGTGATGGTGGTCATATTATGGCTTCCAAGGTGACCGAAATATCACCACCAGCAAGGAAATCTAGGATTATCTCCTCCCTGTGGAGGCAGCCCCCTGCCTTGGTGTTGGTGCCCATTTCCAGGCCTCCAACTTGAGCCTTTCCCCCGCCCCAATCGTGGCCCCTCGCTCCTGCCCAGCTCCAGCCTCCTCCTGCCGCCACGTGCTCTCGTCGAGCCTCGGCCAGCCCCCCGGTGCGGGCCCGATCGTGCCCCTCAGGGCGCCAGAGACGGGGGCACAGCAAACGGGGGCACGGGGAACGCCGATTTCCACGTTTGGCTATGCCCCCGTTTAGGGGGCCCTGGGCGCCGCAGACGGGGGTACAGTAAACGGGGGTATATGGAAAAGCCCAAGCCCCCGTTCAGCTTAGCTAAACCCCGTTTGCGGGGCCCCGAGCCCCGTGCCCCCCCCCCCTATTCCCCGCCGGGGCTGCCCAGCCTGCCCAGCCGCGGGCGGAGGGCGCGCTGCTCGTCCTCCTTCCTCTGGTGTGCTTCCGCTCCACCTTCTGCCCCCTGCGGCTCCCCTTCGCCCCCCCTGTCGCCCTCCTCGTCAGGCCTCCCACATGGGCTTGAAGTAAACGGGGTCGGTGGATCGCCTCGCATCGCCGGTGCTCTTCTTCGTCTCCCTCGTCTTCAGCGCGCAGCGGGCGGCAGGAGTTTGCGGCACCCGCTCCGCCCGCACTCTCTTCCGCTGCCTTCTGCTGCAAGGCTCAGGTCGGAGGTTGATAGACCTCCTACCTTGACACGTCGATTAGCGAATTGGCCGTTTTCGGTTCGCGAGGGGGCGTCGCGGCCGTTTTGCGGGTCCAGGTCCGTCGGTCTTGGTCCCTTTCACTAAAGGATGGTTTATTATATGGAGGTTTGTCCACCGCCGATCAGAGGCCAAGCGCCGCGAAGTGCCACGGCCGGGGGCAGATTTGTGCCAGCCAGACCAGGTGACTTTTCCCTAGCCGCGTCATGCCTCTTCTTCCCCCTCGTCGCCTTCTGTCCAAACCTACCTTTCATCCTCTCGTCCTCCCCCTCCTGCGCCGTGCTAGGCGCCGACGTGCGACGAGACTTCGTGCTCTGGGGCCTCACGTTGTCCATCGTCAGCGACTGGCTGCAGGCTATGGGCTCGGGGGCGGCCAAGAGGGGGTTGATGACTAGGGCGGGGCGGTGGTGGGGGGATATCATGACCCGCGCCATGGTCTCCCAGATGCCATGCGCCCCTCTTCTTCTTTCAAGATGTTCCCTGGTTTGCCAGTAGCCGCACCACTTTGCTAGCACGAGACAGTGTCATATTGGCGCCCCAGAGCGAGTTGAGTCGAGCCGAGTCAAGATGTTACCTACCCCCTTCTCCTGTTGGCGCACATGCCACGGGTCATGATTTATACCCCACCCCCTGTTGGACGCCCTCTCCCTTGGACGCCCCCTATGTGCACCGAGCCCCCGATCTCTCACAGCGCCCCGCTGCAGGGCTCTCCGAGGCCTGCCACCTTCATCGAGACACGCCATGTGCCTGGAAGGGGCCCTGGCGCCGAAGCCCTGTCGGCCATAGAGTTGGGCACCAGGCAAGGACCCTCACTGAGGGTAAGGTGTACGCGGGACGTTTTCCTCGTCCTCCCCCCCTAGTGGACTTCCTCCTCCTCCTCCTCCTCCTCCTCCGCGACTCCAGGCCAGTGCTGCGCCAGAACGCGAGAACTGCAAGGCTTGACGGGCCAATGCAGCGATGTCCTATTGAGAGGGGCCCGTTCGGAAAATGGTGCTTTGGGGCTTTCTTGGGGCCGCGATAATGATGGTGATGAGATGATGGTGGCCGCTGGCGGATGAATGAGCATAGTATAGACTTTGCCGTAACGCGTGCGCCGCCTTGCGACATGCCGCCGATGTGTCGTAACCCTGAGCTGAAGATAGGAAGTTTGCCCTGCAGCTATAGTGAGCTGTCTCGGGCTCCGTGGCCCTGTAGCTGTATTCATTGTGGCGGCCTTTGGGACAGAAGCTGAAAGGGCACGAGCCCGTGCCGAGGGAATGAGTAAGCTGGAATACTCGGCGCATGGAATTGCGAATTTCACCGCCGCGCCTCCACCTCTCTGGCGAATCGTCACCTCTTATCCGGGCCATTGAAAGATACATGTTGCTCCTCCCCACGGACGCGACAATTCAGAAGTGAACGCTTGGGCGTTCTTGCATTGCAATTGCGGGCGTCGAGTGTCCGTCCCTGGCAGCTGCTTCGACTCCTAGGCCCTAGGCTTCAATGCCATTACGAGTGGCTTTGGCTGGATTTATACACTGTGCGCATAAGAACAACTGGCACCCAGGAGCGGTGGCACGCCAGGGAAGAGGAACCACAAACCCTGGCTGCGCCGAGAAGCCTCAACATCGTCGTCACATCCTCAAGTTCGTCCACCTCCTTCCACGCCCGCCACCTTGTCAGCGTGCTTCGCCCGAGCAATCGGATACACAACATCGCGATGGGTGTGGCGATGGCCACCAATATGCAGATGTCTCGAACGGAGCAGACAATGCCAAGAAACGCGGAGAAGCGAGCTAAGGTGATGTGAGTGTATTGCAGTTGTTGTTGGTGGGAACGTTGTGGATGCGATTCGCACAGTTTTGATTATTCCGTTTACCTGCGTGTTTGTGGTTGGGCATGCAGTTCTACATAAGTCACGTTGTATTTTCAGCATTAGTTAATACCGTCATGTTACGTTGAGTTGTATGTGGCTAGAGGCTCAACGTTGCCATCTACATTGCCGTTTTTGAATAGTCTGGCAAAGAAAACGAAGTCCGTGGCATTGACAGCAGGATGCGTACGCCTGATGGTTGCAGATTGACAATGAGGTAAATATCGGTGATTGAATTGTCACACCGTACCACATGTGAACTGCCATATTGAACCCACGCCCCGTGTTCCAAGAGTATGTTCCACACCATTGAACTCCCGTTTGCCCCAGCTGAATGTTGCCTCACGAGTTCGGAGGATGCCTACTCGATGTGAAGTGACAGGTAGGTGCGGGGTCCTTCGCCCCAGGCGGCGCCGCTGCCCCGAGTTCGTTGGGAGTCCTCCAGGTTCCTCGGCCCCCAGTGTTGCCAGGTGTTCCTAAGGGCTTTTCGGAGTTGCCAAGCAGAGACAAGCAACTCCCAGCACTTACAATCATTGCGAAGCCATGCAAATATGAACAACGGAACACGATGCCAAGCCAATCAATGCCAAGCAGTACAAAGCAACGCCACGCAATGCCAAGCAGTACAAAGCAACGCCACGCAATGCCAAGCAACGTTTCGCAATGCCAAGCAATGCCAAACAGCGCGAAGCAATGCAAAGCCACTGCAAAGCCAACGCCAAGCACCGCCAAGCGATGGAAAGCAACGCAAAGCAACTCCCAGCAACGAGTCCTTGCCAAGCATAACCAAGGCAACGTTTCCAAGCAATGCCAAGCAACGATTCCAAGTAAAGCCGAACAATGCAAAACCGTACAAAGGTATGCCCAAGCTATGCTTTGATCTGGATTGCTCAGATCGGCGAAAGGAGACCCCAAACCGGTGTCGTGCTTGTAATGTGTAATGTGTTGGCCGACGGGCCTTTGCAGCAAGGCGACTCCGCAAACAACGCTGTGTAGCGAGGTGAGCGGCACTTCTGGCAAACGAGGAAGATGGTTGGCAGGTTGGCGGTGGCGGAGGCATCAGCAGCATCGGTTGTTGAGAAGTGAATTATGTGGGATTGCCAAACGCGTTTGCTTACAATCGGTTCCCAATCTTTCCCAACGCCGTGTCGCATCAACGATTGAATGACGTGACATGTACGCTCCTGCAGAGGAATCCGTCTCATTGCCTCTGTCGCTGCAGCCGCTGGCGTAGACGACGGTGGTCTCCGCGCCAGCTGTATTAGAAAAGAAAAGGAGAGAAAAGCACAAACATGAGCTATAGACGATAGCCTCGACAATGCCGGTCATGTTTCGGAGAGGTATGCGCGGACGCCCGCGAGTTGCGGGGAGCGGGCGTCCTGCCACGCTGCCGCTTGCCGTGCCACGGGCAACCAAAGGCTTCAGTCAAAATGGTCACCGATCATCCTCCCCCCCATCGTTCGCTCGCCAGTTGGGGCGTAAAAGGTTGCCAAAAGAAGAGGGATAGAGGTGCGTGCAACGAATGCGTGGAAGGAGCCGTCAGGGGAAAGCCGCCACAGTCGCCCGCGAGCACACCAGGACACCCCCAACCGCCTCGCCATGGGAAAGACGGTCCTCGCAGCAGCGAGAGCTCGCCGGGCGTGGGCCCCGACACCACAGCCCACAGATTTTCCCCGCCGAAGGCTTCCGCGAGTGGGGTGCCAACAATCCGGTGGATCATCGCGAAACACAGCACAGTCTCTCCATCTTACTGCAAAGTCGCCTCCTGCAGCCTGGACCGAAGGCCGCCCGTTCAGCGTGGCTGGTTCCTGCTCAAGATGCCTTTCCTCATCCCCCCACGAGCATGCACCAACCACCCTCATGGCCTGAGGTCGTTTGCTGGTGGTGGTGCTCCACATGCCCAGCAGGAGAACAGCCGCATCAAAAACCATGCAACTCTCACCACTACCTTTTCCCTCCCCATCCTGAATTTGCCGAAACGTAGTGTGCCTCGCCGACTGGTGGGCAGTGCTGCGGTCTGTAGGGGTGGGGTCCAAGTCCCTTGGCCGCAAGCCTCCTCCTTGTCTCTTCAATGTCGGGCCATCTACCTAACATCGCCAGCGCTGGGGCAGCAAAGGCTGAGGTATTTGCTATCGGAGGCATCCTGGCAGCAACACCTCCCGCCAGGAGGACGCGCGCACTCCACACGGAGACGCACCAAAAGGAGAAGCGCTGCCCGCACACGGGGAAGCAGGCCAGCATTACAGGGCAGGGACGTGCATGCGCGCGCACGCCGTCCACAGTTCGCACGCCCGCACTCACACATTCTCGTCTTGCGTCCACTCCATCTCTCTATCACCTAGATGTCGGATGCCCCATGGATCATTATGTGAACGATTCGGCCTCCCCCATCTTCCGCCTGCTCCTTCTCTAGCTAGAGTTCGGAGGTTGGTTCGCTGGTTCCTCCAGACAGAAGAAAGAGAAATCTGCACATCGATTCGGGTCATACCAATCTTGAGCCCAGGATCGGTGTATACAGCATCCCGGCTTGGCCAGGGAGGCATGTGCAACGGTTTTGAGCCCAGGATGGGCCTGGACAGAACCGGTGCATGTGCATAATTATCTTCACCCGAGGCCTCCCCGCCCTCAGAGTCTGAACCCCAGAGGTCAGAACCCCTTCCCGGGGTCCGGCTGTTCATCCTGAGCGGTTTTCTAACGGCCAGGGGCCTAGGGAAGGGCCCTTATCTGGCGGGGCTAGAACGACGCGAGTTCCGTTCCAGAGCGCTCTGGAGCACTCTCAGAGCGCTCTCAGAGCGCTTTGAGAGGGCCGCCGCGCCCGAGACATCCTCCAGGACGGCAGGTATGCAGGTATGGCGCTGCGGCAGGCAGAGGGGGCGGGCCCTCCCAGAAGGCTCAGACAGCCTCTGGCCTTCTGAGAAGCTTTCCCTCGGACGGAGCGGAGGACGAAGGTACATGCGTCCCAGAGCGTTCCAGAACGTTCTCAGAGCGTTCCAGAACGCTCTACGAAGACCGCGGCGCCCGAGACATCCTCCAGAGCCGCCGGATGTCTGAGATGTTTGGGGCTTGCGCCACACCGCCGACCACTTGGGGAATTGGCGGTTGTTGTGTGTTGCTCCTGAGGGCGTCTTGGAGCTCTTTTGGGGCTTCATGGGTTTTTTTTCTGAACCTCTTGGGCTGCCATTCCCAGTATTCGCCGTGCACGCATGGGGAATCGGTCGAGAACCCGCGTATACAGACGGAGGGCATTTGTCAAAACACCCGACGAATGATTATCGAAGACGCCTACGGTGAATCACCGCCGCCCCCTGCCCCTTTGGAAGCGCCATTGTGGCCGACAGCTGGGCCAGAGCTTGGCCAAGCTGTCGGGCCAGTTGTTCCCTGAGTCGGTTTGGACAGACTTCGGGGACCGCATGGGGGAGCAAGAAGAGGAGGAGGGGGAGGATGAGGAACACAAGAAGAGAGGGAGGAGGAGGAGGAGGCATCTTGGGCGCCCCTTGGAGCACTTTTGGGGCCTCCTGGGAGCTTCCTGGGGGCCTCTTGGAAGGTTTTTGGGGGGCCCTTGGGGGCTTCTTGGTGGCCTCTTTGGCAGTCTTAGGGCGTTCCTGGCTTGCCTGACGCCGTCGGAAGCCGTCTTGGGGGCCTGTCTGGGTTGTTTTGGGGCCCTCTTGGGGCATATCAGGGGTTCTTAGAGGCCATCTTGGGCGTCTTGGAGGCCTCTTGGGCAGTTTACGGGCCCTCTTGAGGCCGTCTTGGGAGCCTTTTGGGCCGTCATGGGGCATCTTGGAGGCCTCTTGGGCGATCTTGGGGGCCTCTTGCGCCGTCTTGAGCCGTCGGAATGCCGAGAAGAAGCGGATGCCAAAATCCTTCAAAAACCGTTGGAACATCTATGAGTTTGGCCTCCCTGGAAGACCTCCTGGAGCCTTTCGGGCCGTCTTGCATGCCTCTTGGGGGCCTCTTGGGCCGTCTTGGGCCATCTTGAGGCAGGCCGTCTTGGGTGCATCTTGGACCGTTTTGGAGGCATCTTGGGGCATCTTAGCCGTCTCGGAGGCCATTTTGGCAGTCTTGGAGGCCCCTTGGGCCCTCTTGGGGCCGTCTTGGGGGCCTCTTGGGCTGTCATGGGGCCATCTTGGATGCCTCGTGGGCGATATTGAGAGCCTCTTGGTTGTCTTGAGCCGTCGGCTGGCCGAAAAGAAGCAAATGCTGAAATCCGTCAAACACCCTAAGAGCATCCATGGTTTGGGCCTCTTCGGGCCCTACTGGAGGACCTCTTGGAGGCCTCTTGGGCCGTCTTGGAAGCCTCTGGGCCGTCTTAGGCCATCTCAGGCCGTCTTGGGTGCATCTTGGGCTGTGTTGGAGGCATTTTGGGGTCATCTTAGCCGTCTGAGAGGCCATCTTGGGCGTCCTGGAGGCCGTTTTGGCCGTTTTCGAGGCCCTCTTGGGGCCGTCTTGAGGGCCTCTTAGGCCGTCATGGGGCCATCTTGGACGCCTCGTGGGCGATCTTTGGGCGATCGTGGGGGGCCTCTTGGTTGTCTTGAGCCGTCGGAATGCCGAGAAAAAGCGGATGCCAAAATCCTTCAAAAACCGTTGGAACATCTATGAGTTTGGCTTCTTCGGGCCTTTCTGGAGGATATCTTGGAGGCCGCTTGGGCTGTCTTGGAGGCCTCTTGGGGGCCTCTTGGGCCGTCTTGGGCCATCTGGAGGCCATTTGAGGCCGCCTTGGGTGCAGCTTGGACCATTTTGGAGGTATCTTGGGGCCATCTTTGCCGTCTTGGAGGCCATCTTGGGCCGTCTTGGAGCCGTCTGGGGCAGGAACACCCTTTGCAACCGGCTCTGGAAGAGGGGTAGTCCTTTTGGAAAAGAACCAACACCAACACCGAGAGGGTTCAGCACGCCAGGCACCCTTGTGATGAATCAACAGGGGGCAGCGGATCGAATGG